TAAAAACATATATATATGCACAGAGTGTGATGTATATATTGTTGCCATTTTATATTTTTAATTTTGTGTATATGCATTGTTTGTTTTTGATATTGTCAACTGTACAGTAGTCAGTGGGTGAGTTGTGAGAAAAAGAGCACCATGATGAAATTCACTCCACCAGAAATTGTCACTCACACCAGAAGCTCAAATACAAACATTTCAGATTTTTTGGGTGTCAATCTAAGGACAATGCAGAGGATTCAGAAAGAATTGGATGAGTCTCATGGTGATTACAAAGGTACAGCAGCTCAGAAAACTCCTTCTGATTGTTCTTATAAGAAAAGAACTCCTGAATTTGTTGGTGAGGGTCTCAGGCTTAAAATGGAGGCCTACATCAAGTGTGTTGAGGAGGTAGTGTTGCCCTGGATCAAGAGGGTAACTGCTGGAAGAACATATGTCTGGCAACAAGACTCTGCACCATGCCACACAAGCAGAAGAACCCTGACATGGCTGTCAGAAAATTTCTGCAACCACATCACCCCTTACGTCTATCTAACTCTCCAGACTGCAACCCACTTGATTATTATGTGTGGCCCACAGTTGAGACCAACAAAGCTCCTTGTAACACCAAAGATGAACTGAAGGCAAGAAAAAAACACTTGTATGAATGCAAAATAAATTGAATAAAAGCTTAACCACATTACCTTGTTAGTCATCTTTAATGATATATATATATATATATATATATATATATATATAATTATTTTTTATGTGTAAAGGTTTTCACAGAACACACAGCTACTCTGATCCTAAATAAAAGTGCTGATTCATACATAAATAATACTGTAATTTTTTATGGGTACTATGCTAGTTTATAATAAATTTCAAGACTGATTTTTTCTCTACTGTCATCTCGGAAGTCATATTGGGACCTTAGAAATAGTTCATATATTTTTAGGCTTTGTTCTTGGGTGTATTATTTTCTATTTTGCCAGCTCCACCTTCAGCATTTGATATGTCATCTCTTAAGAAACAATATAACCAATGCCTATTTTCATAAAATTTTATCAAAGTGTAAATGAATACCACCAATTGAACATAAAAATATCTCATGGTAAGCAAGAACAACATTATCAAAACCTATTAATAACGGAAGCATTATAAAAGCCCAGCAAACAGTTCATCAGTCAGTTATGTGCCATGTGTGATACACACTTAGGCGATCATGTATCTTTTGATACATGACTGATGAGGCAGATTTTTTTCCTGCAATAGGTTGCCATTTCTTTCTGCGGTAGACCAGTTGCCATCCAAGGCTATAGAACCCAGTGTATCCTGCTATTTACCCATAAGCTGGGAAGGCGTAAGAAGAGGATTCATATCTTTTCCAAGAGTATTAGCACATAAGTGAATGTAATGTCTTTGACTGGAATTTGAACTCGGCTCTCTGATTCCTCAATCCGAGCTGATCAATCTGAAACAGTCCATAACTATTCTATATTATTTAAACCATATCAATATATTCTTGATAATGACAATAAACTTTATAATGAATGCTCAATATTTGCACCTCACCCCACTGTGTTATAGATTTTCATGCTCTCTTTAAAATATTACAAAGAAACCTTTCATTCCTGGTATATTGAAAATTGAAACATATGTACATATGTTCAAGTGTGTGTAGGAGAGGATGTAAATTGAGACTGCAATGAAACTGAAGTGTCTAACTGCCTTGCCACTTGATGTGTTAAGCAGTTCAAGCAGCTGTGTTTTTTACTGATACTGAAAAAAAAAACTAATTTAGTACAAAAGAATTATCTGCCATTTCAACAAATTGTAGGCAAAATTTATTATTGGTTAGCCTAAATATGTTTTTATTATCTTTTTAATATTTGTTTTGAAAGATATTTTTTTGCTGTGTTTTGAATGTAAAAATAGGTTCTAGAATGTAAACTGACAGACTGCTTTGCTTCTAAAACAATGAAATTAAAAAAAAATAACTGTATAGAATGTAAAGTTTTAGTTTTTGAATAAATTCTGCATAAAGCTTGTATTTGTGTCTGTGGACTTAAGCAAAACATGCCTACCCTAAACATGACCTTTTTTGTCTTATGCTTAATTTTTTTTATTTTTCAAACAATTATTTTGAACGAATAGTTCTTTTATAATGATAATCCTCTAGTAATTAAAGCAAAACTTTCATTCTCTTGTATTTTATTTGTCTCTTGTCCACACTTTCAACCAAAGCGGGGTGAGAGATTTTGCAAGTGTAGAGTGAGTATGGTTAAATATAAAATGACAGAACTGTCCAACAAACTGAATTGACAAGGTTTGCAATAAGCAATAACAAGAAAAAAAAGAACAGGGCAAAAATAATATAAAGCAAACAAACAATATATGTAAGGCAAATTAACAGTAAAAGGACAAAGCAGTAGTATGGCAAAAAGTTCAAAAACTAAGAATTGGGGGTTGAGACACAAGGCCAAGTTTGGATAAGCGAACATAGTGTTCTGACTTCAAGACAAGACAGACTGGGACTGAGTCATATGAAACTGAGAACTGGCCTCTAGTTTACAATCATTCTTAATAAAAATAATCAATAATGCATTTTTTACTTGTGGTGACTGTAGAGTGAGTAGCCATAGTGTAATGTAAAAATGACAGAACTATCAAACTGAACTGATAAAATGTGAAATAAACAATAACAAGGAAAAGAAAAGAACAGGGCAAAAAATAATATAAAGCAAGCAAACATTATACACAAGGTAAATTAACAGTAATGTTATATTCCGTATTTAGTTACGTGGGCGATGTGAAAACAATGTGGGCGAAATACTGCGTTTGGTTGCAAACAATGGAATTCAGAATCGAAAGAACAAGAAAGACTGTAGATATATTTTATAATCTCTTTTAGTGAGGAAAATAAGAACAAGTAAAAGTTCGTATTTAAGAAGTTGAGGGTAAGGTACCCTTTGACAAGGCGTCTGACGAGAGTTTATTAGCAGCAGCAGTCACATGCTTCGTTTAAATCGCCGGGCCAGTGTGTCAGGAGATGAGCGACGTGACCCTTCTGCCTCCGCCGTTGAGTGGCCCTCCTTTTGACTTTCCGTGTTCTTATATAACGCCTATCGGCTCAGATGGCAATTTTTTGAATATGCGGAGACTGTCCGATTGGTTGATTTAATTCTTTTTATTTTTTTTGAGTTTATCCCAAACGGAAGTATCTGAAGGTCGAGCCTATCGTAGGCGCGTGCAGTTTTCATTTAAAGTCGGGGGACTCGTGATGGTAACTTCCGTTTATCGAAGTAGGGCAAGATCTCATCTTGTAACAGTAATACGGGAAAAAGTTCACAACTAAGAATTGGGGTTGACACACAAGAGCAAGTTTGGATAAGCAAACATAGTGTTCTAACTTCAAGACAAGACAGACCAGGACTGAGTCATATAAAACTAAGAACTGACCTGTGTTATTGGCTAGGAAGAAATCCCAGCATGCATTTTTGTGCTTCTGCCTAGAAATTGGGTTGGAGGGAGTGTTTTACCGTCATTCTCTGTAGGGACTGTAACCAACAACAAGGATTGTGAGTACAACTACCCTTAATGTTTCTGTAGCCACAAAGCAAGAAAGGCTACTTACTAATTGAAAGGAATCCTTTTTCATTATTTCGAAAGAATGGGAATTATGGTAGGTGTTATTATCTTCATGAATTAATGTTTATTGCTTGTTTTCATTGGACTAATATCCTTATCTTTGTTGTTAATGCTGGAGTGCACAACAGCATAATGTTGGTCTCTCCAGTCTTCTTCAAATGTCTGTCAATTCAGCGAGTCTTCAGGAAATTTTGAACTGAAACCTTCATTTAATTTATAGGTGTTCACCATTCTCATTCTGCTGTCCATAGCCTAGTGGATTAAAGAATTGGTTTGTGAATTTGGTGATATAGTAATTATGAGTTCAATCCCTAGGGAAGATAGTACAAAATCTGACTCAGTAAGAAAATGAGCATTACTAAAAACAGTAAGACAGCCATGGACAGTGAGATGAAAACAATCTGTAGATTAAATAATGGGTTTGGTTCAAGATTTTTTTCCCAGATTAATAGATATCTGAAGAAAGCCGGAAGACACAATAGCCAAAAACATTGTAATAATAACAACAAAGATGAGATTGTTAGTCAGAATGTGAATACAGATAACTCATCATTGTAAAAATTCAGGCAAAAAAATTACAGAACAATCTCAGTTCTTGAATGTCTCACATGTTAACCCAAATGGAATCATCTCTGAGTGGACTGCCATGTTGTATACATTTGTGTGTTGTGTTGTGCTTTTCTTTTCCAATTTTATTGTACTGTATTTTTTTTCTCTTTATTAGCCCTTAGTCATGGATCCAAAGGAAGCTAGTAGTGATACTGGTAAAGGAGAAAGAAAAGATAAGAAAAAAATAATTGCTGATGATATTGTCTCTTCCTAGTCAGTTTCATATGGCAAAATCAATGATCTATACTATTCTTATAAATAAAGGGATGATCATGTCTTTCCTTATTATTATTATTTCAAACAACAATATTATTATTATTTCAAACAATAACATCTCTTTCCTTCCCCTTCCACACCATCTTCCACTTACGCCATCAACTCTCCTACTTACAAAAAAAAATTAAAATATTCATCTATATTTTATCTATTTAGTATTGGGTTTATTTATTTTTTCTTAGATTTAATGATTTTCATTAGTTTTGTGTATAAGCTTGTGCACAAAATACTCTTGTTAAAGTTTAAATAAGCAATCATCTTAGGACTAGGAATGGATTAATCCATTTTAAATTGATTTCTATTGGAAAAATAGTTTCAGTTTATTAACATTTCAGGTTATGAACGGGCTTCAGAAATGAATTAAATTTGTGAACCAAGGTTCCACTGTAGTTCACTTCTGCTCAATAACAAGTATCTGGACTTTATATCAGTTATCACACAACTATCTACAAGAATAACATTTTTCTTTTTCCCTATTTTAGGAAATCCTGCAAGTTGCTGGTGTTGATGCTGATGACTTCATTCAAACAACAGAAAAGAGACATTTTAATGCTGTACAGCATTTCTGGGTATGTATTTTTTGATAAATTTCTTCTTTCCCGGATTTTGTTTGTCATCTGCTTATTTGTATTCCTTTTAATAATTTGTTAATCATATTTGATACTTTACTCAGTTGTGTCACTATCTTACTTGATTATCATTAGATTTACACAAACTGATTATTCAACAATGGCCTCAACTCTGTCTTTTTACCTTAGAATAAATACAGTATGTTTGTACAAGGTAACCAAAAAAGTTCTGTCCATTTTTAAAGGAAAAAAAGAAAACGCTTCACAATATGTGTAGCTTATATTTAGTCTTTGAAGTAATCGCCATCGGCATCCAGCACCTTCTGCCAACGTGTCTCCAGCTGTTCAATGCCCTTGCGGTAGAACTTGGGGGGGTTTGACGCAAAGAAGTCCATGAGGGCTTTGTGCAAGTCTGCTTCATTGGTGAAGGATTTCCCACAAAGATGATTATCCAGGGAGTGGAAGAAGTGGTAATCGGATGGCACAAGGTCAGGTGAATAAGGTGGATAGCACAGTCTCCCACCCAAGTTGCCATATGGTATCCCTGACCACTCGCGTGACATGCGGCCTGGCATTGTCATGGAGGAAAAGCACACCTTTGTGATTCACCAGTGCTGGCTCCTTCTGGTGCAACATCTGTTGTACATGTTTCAATTGCTGCGAGTATAGGTCTCCAGTGACTGTTTGGCCCAGTTCATAATGAACCACTTGACGACCTGTCCACCAGACACAAACATAATCTTGCGTGGGTGCATAGGTGGTCTTGTGGTGTGAGGGACAGCATCCTGAGGAGACAACCAATGTCTGGAACGCTTGGGAGTTTCGTACAGAACCCACTTTTCATAACTGGTTAGCACTCGATTGAATAAGGATGTGGTATGGTGGCGAGAAAGCAGCGATACGCTGACTGCCACTCATTGTCCCTTGTGGACCTACAACAGCGCTTGTGGAACCCACTTGCTCAGTTTGTACGTCTTACCTAGGCGGTGCAGGTGAAGTCTAACTGTTTCATCAGAAACGTTGAACTGTCTTGCAAGTTCACCACACGTTAGACTACTGTCCTCTTCAATGGCCGCCTTCAGGACTCCGTCATTCAAGACCTGTGGTCGTCCACTGCGAGGCTCATCAGGGAGAGACAAATCTCCCAACTTGAATTTTCAAAACCAACGCCTTGCAGTACGTTCATCCACGGCACTATCCCCAAACGCTTGACATATGTGGCGACTTGATGCAGCTGCTGATAAGCCCACTTTGAAGTCGTAAAGCAAACAGCCCCAAACAAGATCTCTAGACACTTCCATCCTTCTCACAGCTGTCTGGCTTATAACTGATGGCCGGGCATGGTGTGTGTGTTTTTTATAACGTCTGATGTTCCTACTTCCGGCTGTCCAAATTTGAAAACAATTGCTACACGCATTTCGTGTATATTTCAACTTCATTCAATGACTAATCAAAAAACGGACAGAACTTTTTTGGTTACCCTGTATATTGCAAATAAGCTGTTATCTTACAGTTCTGTAAACATTTTACCAATACAGACAAAATTAAATGACCTACTTAAAGATAGAGTAATCTGTAACATCAACTGGGAACAAACAACCTGTGTGTAAATAAAGAACAAATTCCTTGAATACACAAATGTAGGAGGAGTATGACAAGGATAGATTTTCAATCCAGATTTATTCAACATAGACATCAAGAAGAGTCAAAGAAAACTAGAAGACCTACTAAGATTTATTATTAGAGGACCTAATCTTAACAACAGAAGATTAATAAGAGTAGATAGATTAGCTTATCATCTGGTTCTCATTCCTCTCTGGTCTTTTGAACAGGAGTAGAGGTTTATCCCATGTTTCCTCTTTAGGATTGTGTTTTCGATTCCTTCTAAAGTCTATATGAAGTCTATACTTCTAACGTCTCCGCCTAAACTCTGAAATTTTATTTACTATTTATTTTTCCTCAATAGGAGTAGATGAGTTTACCTATTTCCACTACACACCCCTTCCTAGTTTTTTAAACAGGAGTAGAGTTTTATTCCTTGTTTCCTGTTTAGTATTGGGTTTCTAGTTTCTTCTAAAGTCTTTTCATTCTCTTTCACTCCCAATAGACCCTTGTGTTTTAGAGGTATTACCATTTTGTTAGGGGTAAATTGATTTAAAAAAAAAAAAAGATCCATGGACGAGACATGGCAGACTCAGAAAGAAAACTGAATAAGGAAATAATGGAAAGCAGGAAAGAAGGAGAGCATGAATTAACTGAAAGAAGACAGAATGCAAGAGAGACAGCCAAAGGGTGTGAGATAAATATTGGTAATGTTAAAATCAACCAGGTACATAAATTCTGGCTAATGTAGTAATCAGAAAATTTGAGACAGAAATCTAAAAAGACATAGTTCTAGTGAAATATGTCTTCCAGAAATTTCATCAAATTTTCATTGATTCATTTTCTGTTGTTTATCAACCCTTTCCAGGTTATTTAAAGCCACAAAATATTTTTAGATTGTAAGACTTTTTTTGGGATAATAATTGTTTAGTGATACAAATCTTACTAATTAAACCATAGCTAGTGAGGTAAAGAGGTAGATTTATATCGTTCCTCTGATTATTTGCACATAAGTGAATATAACAAACCCAATGAGAATTGGAACTTGGCTCTCCGATTAACAATTCTGAGCCATTATCCATTACACCACCTACACATCCAAGCTTACAGCACCTGGTATTCCCAAGTGGTCATCCATCTAAGTAATGTCCAGACTCGACATTGCTTAATTTCAGTGATTGTACAGGATCTGGTGAGAAACTATTCAAAATATTAAGACATAGAAAAATATCATTAAAAACAAAATGAAAAGTTGCTGAACTGTTATGTAATATTTACAATATTTACTTTATTCAAGCTGTTATCCTCAACTTCATTGCCATATTCACAATGTTTTGGTCATTGTATGCTCCAGCCTTCTTCAGGGGATTGGAATTTCAAACTGAACCCTTTATTTCGTCCATTGTGGTAAATTGTTCTAATTCTACGTGCCATGCCTCTTTTGGATGTCCCAGTTATTATAAGGGGTTTGGTTCAAAATTCCAATTACCTAAAGAAGGCCAGAGCATACAACAGCCAAATCATAGTGAATATGGCAATGAAAATGAGGATAACAGTCTGAATAATGTAAATAATCATAGTACCTCATCTCAGAGATATAGGCAGATGTTATGTAATATCTATTCTCCTATATGGAAGTGAATGCTGGACAATCTCCTTACAGATGAAGAAGAGACTTGAATGGACAGAGATGTGCTTCTACTGACAAATGCTTAGAACATAATAGACAGAACATGTGAGCAACAAGGAAGCCTTAAGGAAAATAGAAACAAGGAAATTTACAAACAGAAAGAGACAGTTGAAATTTCTGTGACACATACTGAGGAAAGAGGTTTTGGGGAATTTGAGTAAAGTAGGTGAGAAACAATGTTTAACTTAATGAGTTTATATGAATGGATGGCCGAGCTGGTACAAAGAGGACTGATAAAGAACCAAAATTACTTAGAGCAACAAAAAGAACCAGAAGATGTGGGGAGCAATGATCTCCTATATCCTGAAGGTACTTGACACATAAAAGATAATGACATACTTAGCTTATTAATATTATTGTTATCTACTGCTACCTTATGATATTTCTGAAATCTATATTTAAAGGATGAACGCTAGCCCCACAATTGCTATTATAAAAAAGAAGAATCTAAAATGATCATACAATGTTATTAATCCTGACCTGGCATCTCAGCTTCAGTCACTTCCCCCTCGCCATCATGTAGTTTCCCTGTGCCGTTTCTATAAATACTTTAATGGTAATTGTTTGGATGAACTTTGCTCTATGGTACCTAGACTTTATGAATTTAAGTGCAGTACTAGATTGGCAATAAGGTCTCATCATATTTCAGTTGAATTGGTGAGATGTAACTATAAGTTATTTTTTTTTTTATTTGTATTTCTTGCTTGTGGAACTCTCTTCTGGCGTCTTGCTTTCCAGCCAACTTTGATCTTCAAAAATTTAAATGCAACGTCCATCGTTATCTATTGTCTTCTTGATTTCTCTACTTTTATTTTTCTCTCTCTTTGATAATTTATTTTTTTTTTTTTATTCTTTTACACTTAGTAACCCCTTGTGTCTCAGTAGCTTTATTGCCTTGCTAGGGGTGAAATAAAAAAAAAAACTTAGGGTGTATAAATTTTGTAATCTATATAATAAATTCAAATGTTAGTGTGCCACTGTGTCACACTTTTTCAACTTTACTCCTAGAGGCCGTAGCCCAACATATCATATCATTTTGGAATCAAACCAACTCTGTGAACAAATTAAAAACATTCTGGACCAGATCTGGACCTGCAATCCTGAAATTTTGGACTCCCAAGTTTTCATTACTGTAATTGTTTTCAGATTCTGCCATATTGGCTTCTACTGATAAAAACAAAGGGATGCAACTAACTTTCAATAGCTCATGTTCAAATGAAAAAATTACTGTTCTCAAATTACATTGTTTCAAAATAAAATTGTCTGTGTTTTCAACTTTTCTCCTAGAGGCTGTGGCCCAACATATACCATTTTGGAATTGGGCTGACTCCATGAGCAAATTAAAATCATTTTGGGCTGGATCTGGATCTGCAATCCTGAAATTTTGGATTTCCAAGTTTTAATTTCTGCAATTGCTTTTTTACATGATATTTTTGTGACAAATTTTTTTTGTACGATAACAATTTTTATAACTTGGGACTAATTGAAATGAATTGCAAAATCCAGCCATTAAATAAAAATAACTGTTTCTATGTTTTTAAATTAAATGGTGGCAGAAGAATTATTGTTGAACTTTTAAAAGTTATTAATGCAATACTTAAATGCAGCAATCAATTTTGAGTTTTTCTGTAGTTTATTGTTGCCTATTGCATCTCCTTCTCCCTACCTATTGTGATGAAAGCCAATCAAGAGCCCTCTTCAGGAATTAGCTTAAATAATGCCTGATAGGGTGGTTTTTAAACTAGTTGATAATATTTCTGGGGGAAAACTGTGATTATATAATTTTTGCATGTAAGAAGCCCAAAACAGAAGTAATGACAAGAAATTAAATTTTAGATTTAAAAAAGAACAGACTTTGTTCTGATTAATGCATAATTTAGAGCAGTCTTGTTGGGGTTCCATATTTCCAGAATCTCCAGATAAAACGGATCGAAATTATGCAATGATGTCCATTAATAAAACATCTCGATAAGTGACCCTCTAAGAAATATTTATGAAATGGAATTCAACTACCCAAAAGAGATTATGGGTCTAAAGAAATGAAATGAGTAAATAATACTTCATTATTTCACTCAGCTTTAATATTTAATAAAAATCTAGTCCTTGGTAATTACTTAATTTACTCCACAAACAGAAGAGAAATAATTATAATTACTTCACAATGCCTCATACTCTATAAGCATGCTAGGTCCCACCCATTTATTGTTGAAATATCTAAATGCAACTGCCACTTCTACTCCAACAGTTTCTTTTCTTGCACTTCCCACCTGTGGAACTCCTGTTTACTTGCTTTTCTGATAACTACAACATTCAAAAACTTAAATGCAATGTCAATTGCCATCTCCTGTCTTCTTGAATCTCGTTCATCTTTTGTCCTTTCCTCAATCCTCCCTATACTCAGTCTTTTCTATCACTTTCACTCCCTGTAACCCACTGTGTACAAGTGGCTTTTCCCCTGTGCTTGGAGTGAAATAATTAAAAACAAAAGTCAGATTTTTATAGGAGTATATTATTGATCAGTTCAAAGATGGAATGAGCCAACATCAAAATTGGGAGATCTAATTTCAACTCTAAATCAGATTTTAACTTGTAGCATTCTGTCATGAAAAAACATAACTCACACTATTTTGTTTGGGTTGATTTGAATTATAGAAATTCATTTGCATAGTGAAATAAGGAAAATTGAGACAAATTTCCATTGTAAAGCAGTAGATATTATGGTGTTTGTCAAATAGTAAAAAATATACACGTTCAAAAAAATGTATTCTGGTTAAGACAGACTCCTGATATGAATCCTATTGAACATGTTTGGATAATTTGGGATTGCCATATAAGGTAAAGATCCCAAAAAGAAAATAGTTGATTTATTTATTTGAATTCAGATTTTAGAGGATATCACATATATACACAAAAAAAGTAAATCTTTTATTGACTGAAAGAGTAAAGACTTACCATTTGCTAATGGTAAGTCCACCATTTTTTAATTTGTTGGTGTAGCTTTATTTTTCTTGCTTGTTAGTATGTTATTATTTGTTATCCATAAGCTAAAAAGTTATTTTACTGCTTCTAATTGTATTCCTGTTTTTATATCTAAAGTTAAAACTTTTAAGCAGACAAGTTCAAGATGGTCAATTCATTGTTATTAGATGCCATCATCAGTTTCAGCAGTTTATTAATATCCATTGTATTTCCTTAGCTGAATTCTTGGTTATCACCCAAAGTTTTGTTAAAAAGACTGACAAGTTATGGCAGTTAAGTTTTTAATTAATTTTTCTTGTGTCCTCATAATTTTCTTTTCTGGACATAAATTATGTAGAATTGTCTGAATGTTCTGTATATCTGAGCACTTTCAGCTATACTTTAGCCATTTTCAAGGATGATTTTATTTTTACTTTTAACTGAATGTATGGATTGTTTTATATATGTATTGGCCATACAAAACATTTGGACAATTTCTAGACAATTTATGTCCAAAAAAGAAAACATTATAAGAACACAAAAAAATTAAATAAAAAAAAAAACTTAACCATGGTACCTTGTTAGTTCTTTTTAATAAAACTTGTATAAAAGAGGGATTGCTGCCCAAATACACAATTTTATATATATATATATATATATATATATATATATATATATATATATATATATATATCCAGGTAAGATGAGAATGAAGAGTACAATTCAATGTTTGTATATTTAATATATATATATATAATAAAAAGAAGAGAGGAACTGCAAATGTTTTTGGTTGTAATGTGGATTTTTTTAAAAAAATATATATTATTTTCCATAATTTTGCTACATGTGTTTCCGGTCTCGTGACCTTCATCAGGCAAAGAGTGGATATTTCCACATATTATTAAAAGGAATTAATTTTTCTTATGTTTTTCAATGTTAAATATTCTCAATAATAAAAGGGTAATAAAACAATTAAGACTGGTCCGAGAAAGGGTGAAGAAGATATCTATATTCTTAGTCACAAGACCAGAAACGCATGTAGCAAAATTATGGAAAATAAAGCATAATATATTTTTTTAAAAAAATTCATATTACAACCAAAAACGTTTGTGGTTCCTCTCTTCTTTTTATTATGTTTCTCACTGAACTACTATAACCTCTGAATATATATATATATATATATATATATATATATATATATATATATATATATATATAACCAGTCTAATAACTCTTGTTGGAGGAACTCTCTTTGATTGATCATGTTTTTAGAGGTGTATCTGTGCTCACCTCGTTTGGTCAATTGTTGATTGGTGAGGCTATTTAACCCATAGTTGGGGTGAATGGTATTGAGTCTGAGTAGTTAATCCACTTTTTAACAGCTCTTAACAGCCAGATTAGTTGCAAACCACTTGACCACTCAGGTTTTGAATTCAGATTTGTTCTCCTCCTAGACTGATTGCCATTCATGAATGGGATTGTCTGTTTATGCAGAGGTCAAATGCTAATTGTATCTTCATGTAGTATCTATTTCATTACTTACCTACGAGTTTGTCTTCCTTATTTATTTCTCTCTGTTATCTTGAAAACACAAGATACAACAAAGAAATAGATCAATCTCTTTCTCAAGGGTATTTGCACATAAGTTAATGTAATGAACTCAACTGGAATTCAAACTTGTCTCTCTGATTCTTTCATCAAAACCACTAATCATTACTCCACAGTGCTTCCATTCATCTATCTCACTCTCTCTCTCTTGATATATATATATATATATATATACACACAAGTTACATAAAAAAAACAATGAAAATTTTGTTATATATTTTTAATTAACATTGCCTCCTTTCTAAATAATAAATATAATATTTGAAAATTCCTTATGAAAGGCAAAAGTATTTAAAATCAGAATATTTATACAACCTCAGTGTTGATTTCAAAATCCTAGTCAGAAGGAGGTAAAGTTAATAAACAAATATTTAACAAAGAATGTTTTTTATATGTAACATGTATAAATGAAAAATTACTACTCAAATATGCTTATACATTGATATATTATGACTGATATTATAATTTGAAATTAAGCTTTGATATAAGTTGTATGCTCTACAAATATGCATAGATGTAGATATATGTTATTACTATGGTGCATAGATGTAGATATGTTATTACTATGATGCATAAATGTAGATATATGCTATTGCTATGATGCATTGATGTACTTATTATTACTGTGATGCATAGATGTAAAGATGTTATTACAATGAATCTCAACAGTTTGGTATATATGAAATGACAATAGAATTATTTTGATATTGACTTTACAGAGAAAACTCTCAGAAAATGGCTTCATTTACAAGGATTTTTATAAAGGCTGGTATTCCTTATCTGATGAAACATTTATTGTTGAAAACAATGTAAAAGAAGTTCAGGACAAAACTGGGAAATTAGTACAGGTTAGTGTTTTTTGTTTATTTTCCTTTTTTATTAACTTATTTCATTATATTTTTATTTTTAATTATTTTTTCAAGACTAACAACTGCATATCTTTTGAACATTTTTGGTTTTGTTTCAGTTTTTTCCACTTTATGCTAAAAATTTGAAGGAACCTTTTTTTATCTTTTTTTTTTACATTTTTGTGGGATTTGGCAAAGTACATAGAGGTGTAGCAAAATAAAAACATGATTGGCCTTTATGCATAGCTTGTCTTAAAGGTTTCAGGAGATACTAAAATTTAAATTGAACTGTATAAATTACATACATTTAACGACCTCTTTGATGTTTCTTGTATTATCTTTAGAGGTGTGTGTATCATTCTTTCCCATATATAAATATAAAATATTTGGTTGGATTGATGTGAGTTTGTGACCCTGGGTTTCACACTTTTGCGATTGTCAGACAAACTCCATATAATATATAAATAATTATAAATATATATATATATATATATATATATATATATATATATATATATATATATATATATACCCACACTTTTCACATATAAATATAAAATATATATTTTCAAATGTCTGAATTGTTACAGGACATGATTAAATAAGAAATAGGACTTGTACAATCAGCTAAAATTAATATTTGGAAAGAGTTGTTGATAAAGTTCATGAATATTAATTCAATTCTTGATGAACTTATGTTTGATTGAAAGCTAAAAAATATTTATGGATACTTTATTAATTTTAATGATTGTTTCATGTCAATAAGATTAGCAGTGTAAAATATATATTTTACTTTAAATATTATAGTGCAGCATATAAATTACAAAATTTATATATATATATATATATAATCATTAACTATATATACAGATATATTTATATATTGAGTAGACATTCCTGTTTTTTAATGATTTTTATTAGCACTTTAGTAAAGCTAGTAGACATTAATTACATTAAAAAAACAAAATAAAAATAACTGATGGTTAATCAAATATGACCACATTAAATATACCTTTTATTAAATAGTAATAAATAATTTGGAATAAAACAGTTGCACACACACACACACACATATATATAAAATTGTGTATTTGAGTATTACAAATGACTGATATGTTAATGGTATTGGATTTCATGTTTAGCTGATGTTATTTGTTGTAAAACAATGTTTTTCCTGAATGTTGTAGTGTTACTTGTTGGCTGCTGGTTCATGTAATTTAAAGATTGTGTATTTGGGCAGCAATCCCTCTTTTATATAAGTTTTGTTAAAAATCTAATTGTTTTGTATACCATGTGGGTGGATCTGAATTAAACTCTTCAATACCACCTTTGAACTTCAACAGCATTTTCATTCTTCCAGTAGCATTTCAGGATGAACTTTCTTCTTGGTAAGCTTGGATGACATTAGTAATACTAACGTGTAGATCTGGAAAGAAAGCAAGCTGGCAAGCTAGACACTGTAAAAGTGTGTATACATTTTTTTGAGACACTCTGTATATAGTCTAAAATAATTTAATTCTTGACTAAAACTTTTCAGTGAATATCAATCTTTTTTTTTTCAAGAGGTTTGTACAAGTTGCTGAAAATAAAATAAAAACGTTTAGCCAATCTACTTTGAAAATTATGACAAGTGCATTTGGCCTTGGTTCTGCAAATATGATTGCTAGTTAATGATTTAAAATGGAGGCAATGACCTATTTAGTTGGCAAAAGCTGTTAGTCACCCAGAGATAAGGATCAAAAACAAAACCTTAGAGCAGTTCCTTCCTGCAACTCTGCATCATTCTTTTATTGCATACTCAAATGTCATTGCAGCTTCAAAACAGAGTTGTTTGTAAAAAGATCTTTATATAGCAGTCAAAAAAATATGTATTTCCCTCTAATGGGTGAGATATGGAAGAAATGAATCTTCCAGTTTGTATTTTTACCCATTATAGGCATTATTATATCCACGATATAACACCATATTTCACAGATGAAATGGAAAAGCTGAAAGAAAAAGGAATGAAAAACATACTTTGTTTTCAAACGGAGTTTTATACTGCTAAGTCGTACACAAAATTATATATACATATATAAATTTGTCCCACACAGAGAAATTATAATGTGTGTAAAAAAGGAGGAACCTTACTTTTAATATTTTCCAAAGGGAAAACTAGAGTTAGTGACTTCTCTATGAATCTGGTGAGACCATGTGGTTTTTTTCCTGTAAGACCTACCACTGTGGGCTAGGGATATTTCCTTCTCCAGGCTTTACATCACCTCTTGTATCACTAGAACTCTAACATTGTAAATTAAGGCATACCTTTTATATCATGCCTTGGTTTGTAAATCTTCATAATCATCTTTAATATAATTCTCTTCTGAATATATTAAGATGGTGGTAATTGTAAAATTAACTACTTCCTTATAAAAAAACATTCAGCATTCATTGACTGAGCAACCAGTACTACTTTCAGTTGTAATTTAAAAAATCTTTCTTTTAAAACAATTTTTCAGGAAAATAGGTCTTTCAAGTCCAGTAGCTGTTATTGCTCTTTTCAGTATTGATGAGGGGTTTCCTTTCTAACCTTTTATTTGATGTAGTGTGGAATATCAGCATCTTGGTTATGTTGTTATTTTCTCTTTGGGTTGCTTGTGCTATCTGTTTTCTATTATTTGGTATAGTTCTTTGTGATTCTGTAATGATAGTCAGTAATCTATAAAAGTATTAATCATGAATAATAGATATTTATGCTTGCAGCTACATTATATTCTTTTTCAAAATTTATTACTCTTATTTGAAAATAGTATTATTTATTTGTACTTCAGTAAAATAAATGCTGATATATTTTAACCCATTAATACCCACTGTCCCATTTTGGGAATGGTGATCCTTAATAGGTGATAGTTAGAAACCTATAAATGCTAAATTTGTTATAACTGATCCATACACTGAGGTATTTAAAGTGTTTGGTATTTACTAAATCCATTTTGATTTGCATCACTGCTTTCATTCCAATTCCAGATCATGGATTCTGTTTTGGAAAGGTTTATCTTGAGTCCTATTTCTTGGAACATTTGGTAGAGAATGTTGATGGTTATATTAAACCCTACAAAAATTAGAAAATGAAAATTCAAACTTTTTTTTTCCTCAAATAATTTTTCTCATTTTGAAGAGAGAAAAAAAAAAAAAAACACAAATAAGTAAAAATACAGGAAAATACCTCTGAGTCCAAAGATGGCAGTAAACAGTTTATATTAGAATCCTATCCTAAAGAACCACTCATCACTGTATACTGAAAACTTTGACCTGCTAACATCTAACACCTCCTGCTTAAATATAACATTTTTGACTTTTTTCTTCATTTTTTTTTTACCTTTTTTCTTTCTTAGAACCAGATTTGGAAGAGTTTTCTTAGATATGTAGAAAAATTTGCTTTGGCATATATTGGGATAGTGAAGGCTGTGTGTTACCATCTAATAAAAAATATCATTGGAGAGAGTGAAAACAGAAACACTCAGCAGATGATATCAACTTGCTGACTAGATACATATTAGACCAATATGGATTTCAATGCAGTGTGGCTTTTATTGCCCAACAAGGACATGATATGGAATTCTTTGTTTAGCAAAGAAAGCAACTGACAACAACCCTACATACAGATTATAGAATAAACTTGCTGAAATAGGAATATTGCTGTGGACATTTTGAATTTTCTGTTTACACTCAGTCAGTTATGTGCCATGCGTGATACACGCTTAGGCGATCATGTATTTTCGATACATGACTGACGAGGCAGACTTTTTTCTCCGCAGTAGGTTGCCATTTCTTTCTGTGGGAGACCAGTTTCCATTTAAGGCTATAGAACCTTGTCTGATCTGCTATTTACTCATAAGCTGGGGGGAGAAGAAGAGAATTCATAGCTTTCCCAAGAGTATTAGTATGTAAGTGAATGTAATGGATTCAACTGGATTTTGAACTTGGCTCTCTGATTCCTCAATCCGAGCTGATATCCATTACTCCACCATATAGTATGAACTGAAGGCAGGTGTAAAATAGATTAGCCAAAGCATTAGAGGAACAGTCTAAATGATTCACAGAATTAATTCAATTGCTAAATAAACTTTGGAATGTATGGAAAATAAGATTTTTAGCAACTGACAAGATATTAAATATTCTGTTCATTCAAGAAATGGGAGTTCTGAAAAGTTTTAAACCAGATCCACTTCCCAAAATCTGACTGAATAACTAAATATCAGAATTTTTGGGAAGAGCAGCTTGTTCTGTTCAAAAATATTTCAGCACTCTCCCATATTAAGTTAAAAAATTTGTAAAAAAATAAAAACTTTTCCAACTGTATTTAATTGAAAATATTAATACCCAATTGATTCACATTTTATTTCTTATTAAAAATAAGAATCTAACGATGCATGAATCTGTGTAGCTTCATTATTTACATTTGGATCAATGTCCCCATTCTTGGTGTTGTTATCACAATATTTTGGCCATTGTGCCCTTTGGCTTTCTTTAGGTGTCTATTGAACCTTTTATTTAATCTATAGAAGTTGATTGCTCTTGTTCCACTGTCCATGTCTAAAGATTTTTTGTTCTCTTTTTGTACTGCTTGCTTATTGCTATCCCTGTAGTCTATAGAAAGGATTCTCAACTAGGGTAGGAGTGCAGGGGGATATAACTTTTTCTGGTATTTTTATTTAGAGAATTTTGTTTATTAAATTCCAATACCCTGGCATTCTATTGAACTTTTTGTTCATTAAAGCATGCTTCATTTTATTTAATAATTAATTGTGAATTAAAAAAAAATTACTCTACAATGTATTCAAGTTTAAAAATCCATCAACATTTTCTATTGCTATTAAATTTGTAAAACTCCTCTATGAAATGAATCTATGTAAATGTATGTTTACTAATATGGAAAAGAATGAAGATTTTCAATAATATATGCTTATTATTTGTAATGCACCTTTTGGGTTGGAAAATCTTTGAAAGGGAGTCAATGACAATCTGACTTATGGTGAAAAGGGTGCATTGAGAAAAAAAGCTGAGAACCACCAAGTGTTGGTTTGTGAATTTGGTAGCATAGTAATTGTGAGTTCAATCCCTATGCAGGGTAGTACAGACTTTGACTCAGTCGAAGTGTTATTTACATTTGGAAACTGAATGTAAATAATGGTAACTCTTCAGTACAACTTCATCTAACACAATGTCAAAATACTCTTAAAATAATTTATTGAAAAGGAAGCAGTGTGTTTTAAGAAGTTTATAATTCATAAAACAATCATTATTTAGTGATTAAGAAGAATAGCAAAATGTGATTATTTTTATTAGAAGCATTACATATTATAAGATAAAAATAGAAGTATTCTCAAATTTTAACACCAGAACATATTTATCAAAGACTATCATGGTCATGTCACCTGTTTATAATTTATCTTCCCCATTAGACGTCTAACATTGTTTCTTTAATCTCCTGCCAAATTCTCTTTTTACAATTCAATTTTTGCAGCATAACTATAAAAGAAAACTCAAAAAAAAAGAATACAACTATTACTGAAGTATATTTAGAATCTGTCTGCTTTATACATATGCAATTCTACTATGTGCTCTCAGATTAGTTCCTTAGAGACAAAATGGCTGATAACATTGTGTATCCAGAGCCATTTCACATAATCTCTACCAGATAAACATTAACAAAACAGTATGTTTCTTTCCTATTTCAGATATCAAAGAAATAAACTCTTAAACATACTTTGTTTCTGAAATGTGTCTTACTTAATATTCTGGCACAATCTTCAAAATCAAATCCAAAAAGCAAAACAAACCAAAATTCTAAATGGAATTTATATAGTAGTTGAACATGTGACTGTTGGCAAGTAGCTTACTGAAGAATAGGTGACCAGATTTACCAAAACTGTTGATGATGTGAATAACATAAAGATGTAAAACTGTCACCTGTTGAAGAAAGTGTTATTGGGACCCTAAATAAAAAGAAGAATGTATTAAAGAAAATATTTTTTATTTTTTTAATCATTTCATCCTAAGCAAGGCAATAAAGCCACTAAGATGCAAAGAGTTACTGGGTATGAGAGAATGTGAAAAAAAAAACATTATTAAGGAAAGAGAACAATAAAAAAAACAGGAATTAAGAAGACAGAAAATAATGATTTACGTTGCATTTAAATTTTTGCGGATCAATGTTGACAAGAAATCAAGAAACTGGAGAATAGTTCCATAAGCGAGAAGTATGAGAGAAGAAACTGTTAGTGTAGGACTTCCGGTTAAATCTAGCAATTTCAACTGTAAATGATGAGACCTAACTGCCAATCTAGTACTGCACTTAAATTTGTAAAGTTGAGGTGGCAAAAAGGAAAGTTCATTAGAATAATTACCATTAAAATATTTATAGAAAATATTGATTCAATATAACCTTTCTACTTCATGTCAGTCGAAAATGTTAGCCAGAAAGGCACAATGAATCAGTCTCCTGTCGGTTAAGAAAAATTCTGTTAGAAGATTAACAGAGAGCAGTTTTGTTTTGGAGGCATTAAAATTAACAAGCCATTTCTTGCTCCAGTTAACAACAGATTGTAGGTCATTTTTTTTAGATCAGCTGCCAATTTGACTTTATCAAACTTATTTAGCTGAGACATATTCATTTTGCATTAACCATTCCTATAAAATTTGTTAGGCAAAATATTAATAACTTATTTATTATTGATACATTTTACAACAATAAGGAAATATATATGAGAAGTGGATAATTACTTATCATAATGAATAATTACTTTAGATTAAAAAAAATATTTTCCTTTTAGACATATATGAGTGTTTTAATACTTAAAATTATTATAATTGTGAAATTCCTGCTTGATTATTTACACTATTTACAGGTGGACTATTGTCCTTATCTTTGTTGTTATCACAACATTTCTGGCCTTCCTCAGGTGTGTATCTATCTGGGTAACCCACAGGGAATTCCAAACTGAACCCTTTATTTAACCTATGTAAATAGACTGTTCTTGTTCCACTACCTATATCTGTAAATATCTTGCCTCGTTCTTATTTAGTACTACTCAGTTATTGGTTGCTCTGTTTCCACTAAGTCCAAGTACACACTGCCCAGTCCAGGGATTGAACTCACAATTACTATGCCACCAAAATACTGTAATCCACTAGGCTATTCACAATTCAATTTTTGCTAGTCTATTATCCCATAGGACAATTCTCTGAGCAGAACTTGGAGTCTTAAACCTAATCTACCTTCTGATGAGTGTTACTGCTGCTTTCATAACAACAACAAAGATGAGGATAATAGTCTACTTGTAAATCATGTAAATAATGATAACTCCTCATCCCAGAAATTCAAACAGAAAAAATTCCTGCTTGTATTTAAAATTTTTTTTTTTTTTCTTTTAATCAGATCTGTTCCGAAACAGGAAATCCAGTGATTTGGATTGAAGAGGAAAACTACATGTTTCAATTATCTCAGTTCATTCCTCAACTTAGAGAATGGCTCAACTCAAATGGTAAATTTTATGTTTCATTTAATTAAGTCCAGAATCACTTTCGGTAACAACATAATCAGAATATTTTGTCCATTGCTTTCACTTGATCTAACTTTTGGAATTTGTTATTCTTGAATTTCTTACATTTTTTTTTAACTAATAACTTTGTTTTCTATTGAGACAAATCCCGGCCACACAAAGATTGGGCAAAAATGTCTCTTTACTTAATATTTGTGTAGCTATTTGTCTTTATTCCTCGCAGCCCATGATTTTCAAAAACTGGAAATAACTGTTAAATGATATTTGAATTGAATTTATGCTACTTCTTAAGGCTGTGTTTAAGATGAAAATTTAATCAGTTCTCATTTATAGAATTGATATTGGCAACAACTAAAATTAAATGTTCAAATTATCTCTCCACATTCAGAGTTTTGCAGATATGGTATCTATTTGTTAGGAGGTATCAGAGTAAAATTGAATTTATTTACAAAAATCATATATTTCTTAAAAGATGTTATTATTTTTTTTTTTTTAAAAAGACATTCATTTTTGGCATAAATTTATTTTAAATTTCTTTTTAAAGTTCTACTGTGTGACATAATTTAATTTGAAATTGGTTGTGTAATTAGATAATTTTACTATATTAAAACTTATTTAATTTCTTTTTTTACATACGTTCCTATCCATAACGAGAAAACCAATGAACATAACCAAAAAATTTTTAATTAGATTATGCCATGCAATCAAATCTTTAAGAAAAAACAAATTTTAAATAAGTTAACATAAAAAAATTTTTTTTTTTTTTTTTTTTTTTTTTTTTTTTTTAGAGAAAAGTAACATCTTTTAAGAAATATGAGTTCGGTAAAATAATTCAATTTTACTAGCAAACCACTTGATGAAAAACTGCAAAACTCCAAATTGGGTAAGATAAGTTGAATATTTGATTTTATTTGTTGTTATTAATGTTCTATCTCTTGGTATAGAGCACTTTAATTACAAAGACTACTTGCCTTAAAAGTGTTGTCCTCCAAAAATGCACTAATTGACTGTTTTTGATGTAATGGAATAACCTGTCACTTCCATCTGTAACTACACTATAGGTAGTAACCACCTATAAGTATCTGTAAGTCAATGGACCACAGACTCTAGCTGGGATCTGTTGAGTACGACTCAGACTTATGCGAGAATTACCAACTTTCCAATAGTAGCACTCACTACAGGATTGAATTGTGATGACTTTGTGCATAACTGTTACCTTTATTCTTAATGTACTGTTTTTTTTACAATAAACCTTTACTTATTTTATCCATCTTGTTTTTCAAGTATATATTCCTATTAGCACAGAATATAACAGTTTTTGTTTTGTTGGCAAAACACAAACTTTGTTATTATTAGAATTGATATTTTAATAATTTTCAAATGAATAAGGGAAACTAGTCAAACTCCAACTACATCTAAAATTTAAGCTATTACTTGTACTTTTACTAATCAACAATGGGTGTGTTATAGAGTTCTGCCCATGAGACCTGAATTAGACTCTCACTCTGGTCAAGTTATAGTGGTGATTTCTTGATAATACCAGCCTGAGGAGATGATCCTAGTGTGTGACAGCATTGGGAATTGCTAAAAAATCATACCATAGTATGATCCTAGCCTTGTGAGTGAAATTTGGTAGATGAAACTGTTTAGAAGTTGTTGATGGTTGCACTACCATGAAGTCACAAGTCATCATGACCGAGGGATTTGACAGTGAATTGGCCTTGTTCAAAACTGTTGATCACACTAGATTATGTTTTCTCCCAGAAACTCTAAGGTCCACTCAACATAGGGGCAGTATAAAACACTGGTTGGCTCTGTGGGTATTGAATAAATACATATGTGCTTGAGCAGGCATCTGCAACAGGGATTAGTTAGTCACCTGACAGACAAGCATACTTAGAAATGAGTAGCCAGCCATTATATTATTACTAATCAGCAAATGTCTAGTGTTAAATGATTTTTTAATAGGCTTGCTATTTATAAAAAAACATTATTCTTGTAATATGTAGTGGATATAAGCACTTTTGATGAGATTTTATAAGCTCCTGGTACATTTGATCCACTAGCAATTTTTGGTGGACTTGTGTAAGTCCAAGAGAAAAATAAGAGAATAGAATTTTAACATGAAAATGTTAACAAATATACTGATCAGACATTTTACAAAAGGAAAATCAGAAATGAAATGTGAAAAGTTCAAAGCAACCTTCAGTGTCTGTAGTTGAGTATTCACATTTTGTGGGAGGGAAAAGAATACATCTTTTTGCTATGAAAAATCACAGAGAAAGAGATTGATTCTTTCAAATCTCATGCCACCTGCGATTATCGTCAGGGGGCAGTAATCCAACAAATATAGTATAAATCTTCAAGTTAGAAGAAGGAAAAAGAAAAGATTGTAAACATTTGCATAAAATGATGATACCCATGAAATAATAAGATCTGTCTTTTATATAAAAATATGTAATGAAAACACTATTTTTATATTTTTTCTTATTTTAACGTTGATAGGATTTTTATTTTTTCAGTTTTTGTAACAAAAAATTAGATCGTTATTATCAGGGTAAACACTTCACTCTATTATTATTTGCAAATTGGATTGGAAATTATTCTTCAGGTTAGAGTATTTTAATAATATTGCTCTGACAGGTATCTTGCTATAATGTGCTGATTTTGCTGTTTTACAGTAACAAACATGTCCACAAATAGAAATCAGAACATTAGAAAATAGATTCAATGTAGACAGCAAAAAGGCTGCAAGTACCATTGAAATTCTTTTGTTTAGATATGCTTTGCATTTGTTAATAGGAGCCTTTAGTGTTGATAACAAAATTTAAAAAGAAATATTTCTCCTTTTTTATGAATAAAAGAAAATTAAAGATAAAACAAAATTCAAATTTTTATCTAGTAATGAGAATAAAATGATTGTAATGTCATTCTTGTTTTTGAAACATGGCTCCTGATTTCTACAACATTATTTCAGTGATTTATGTAAGTTGTTAGTTTATTTACATATTATTATACATTTTCCACCATATAACATACACCTATAATTTGGCTGGGAATATTTGGAGAGGGAAAAAACTAATTCTGGGGTCATCAAGGAAATAGAATGTCAAACACGAGTGTTTAGATTTGCATCATACAAGGAATTCCCCACTTAGATATAAGATGCTGGGTGATTTTTGAAGCATTTTTTAAGCATACTTTATATAGTATAAAATAAATTCTCGATACTAATTGTTTTATTAGTTTGTATTTATTTTTTTCTTATTTTATCTGACAGGATAAAAGTATGTTTCTGTTAGGGTGGGGATTTTTTTAAAATTTTATAAAAAAAATTGACATATTGAGCCTGTGGTTCTAAACAATAGCTTCCAGTTTTATTTGACATTTTTATTACAGTTGAATAGTATCTTTTCCTATGTGAAAAAATATTAAAAAACAAATAACATTTAAACAAGTTTCATAAACTCTTTTCAGTTGTCATTAAAATTTGCTTTCTTGTTCAAAGCTTCAACTATTTCTTTTTGTTTATATAGGTGGGATGTGGCGAACCTCTCACTGCTCTACCACTACTTCCATGGAAAGTGCTAGGATGAACTACATTACGTGGGTCCATCAGGCCTAACCTTCTTTGGCTAGGACCCACCATGCTATTTATTTGTAGCAAACGACCCACATTCCCTCTGTATTCCGTTAGTGAGAAGTAAGTTCCACTTTGAACCGACTCCCTAAGAGGATGTTTCCTGATCATTACAATCTTAGCCAGTTTAAGTCTAAAGTTAACCATTATCTTCTCTTCTTATCTGTATAAACTACTTTTTAACATAACTCTCTACCTTGAGTGGCCCCTGGGCCTTGTACAGTGAACCTTAATGTAAAAAAAAAAATTTCCTTGTATTGCACATGTTCTGTCCATGGTATTCTCAACATTCCTTTATGGCTATAGTCTAAAAACCCACATTCAAATTTCACTTGTATCATTTTCTACAGTGAAAGTCCAGAATCTAAAACCTGATGTTGTGACTCTATATCTGCTTGTCAGCATAAAATAATCCTGTAAAAATTCAAAGACAATTATCATTTGTGTTATTTTGTCCTGCTCCATTTCACTGCTGCTGTTTTTCATCATTTCTCTTTTAAGAATATATTTCTATTTTTATAAAATGTATATTAAATACAGTGAATCAAAATAAAAAAAAACAAAACAAATAAAAATCAAATGCCAAATGTATTGGTCCGACACATATACAAGGAGTTGCTGAAAAAGTCTTGGCTTGACCAACTTCTAAAAACTCTAATCAAATAAACAAATATGTTGTGATAAAATGTTCTCAACTTGACTAAGAAGCCCTTCCTCAAAAATTTCTGATGTCTGGTGATTTGGTCAAATTTTGGGAAGTGGGTTGGGCCAAGAATTTTTCAATACCTCCTATACACTGACATCCCAGAAGCTATGGATAGGTGTTTCATATTTTGTAGGATCCCCTCTAACCCAGTGAATTGTAGAAGCTTGATATGACATTGATTTCAAAAATGATCTAAAGTCCTCTGAAGAGATTTGTGACAGAATGTAATGTTGATAATTGTCCACAGATCCATAACTACAGGCTTTTGTGAGCAAAAAGACCTCTCCACAATGTCTCCTGAATGTGCTATTGAGCTCATGTCAAGTGAACATTGTGAAGTCATCCTGATGACTTCAGAATGGTTACTTCATCAGAAGTCTTCAGAATGTACTGAAAACCAGTTCTGGGCAACTTTGGCATAATGGCATGGTAAATTATCCTGTTGGAAAATCCAAATTTGTTGAGGTACACGGAGTCCATGAATGGTTGCAAATGGTTATGAAGTAATGCAATGTAATAGTCAAATACGCCATCAAACATGGTAATTGAAGGTTTGGCAATATTTAATTTCTGTGCACATAACTGAAATAAATGCTGTGTCAAAAGGACAGTTATTCCCTTGACACCACTATTACTACATACACTTTTGACTTTTCCCGGCAATGTTTATTCTTTTAAAAAGTGATTATTAGAATTTTAATAAAGCTCAAAAATTTATACATTTTATTTATTCTTGAGATTGACAACAAAGATATTAAACACTTTATTAGATTGCTTATTTACAAGAATAATTTTATATTTATAGGGTTTTAAAAATATGTGAACCAGTTATAATAAAATATTTATTATTTATCATTTCATAAAGAAATAATTATGAAAAAAAAATCTAAATCGTAAATACTAAATCTTTATAAAAGGTAAACAAATCTTGCATTGTATTTGATTCACAAAGTTTTATAATTTCATAAATAAACATTGCTGAGGAAGTCAAAAGTGTATACAGAAATAGTGGTGTCAAAGGAATAACCATTCTTTTGACACACTGTTTTTTTGTGGGCATGATGTTTAACATTGACAAAAGTTTTTAATCTATTTTGTTTGAGCTGTCAGATGTTTACTATCATAGAAGAGATTAATATTTACTTTTCTATGTATAATCTTTTCATTCAAAATTAAACTAATGATAATATTTATTTCATATATCTTTCAGTTATCCAGCCTCCTTTGTGGAATGGCTTGGCTAAGAGTTATCTCCCCACTCTTTCTGACCTCTCTATCTCCAGAAGCAGAGAAAGAATTTCTTGGGGTATTCCAGTCCCTGGTGATGATACACAAACGGTTTGTATATTATGTTTTAAAAACATTATTTTAAAAATTATGTTTTTGTTTTTTTTGTATTAGCATTTACTTATTGGCTCATCGTATTTTGACAATTTGTCTTTGATCTTTGTCAGATATAAACTGCATTTGCTGAGCCTCTGATATTTCAATCTTTTTTTTAAAATTTTGCCATTTCCAAGAGTTAAAACTGTGTTAATGCTGAAAAGAAAAAATATTGAGTTAGTATGCAAAACATACTGTTGAAAAGGTAAAAAAATCTGCTAAGTATTGAACGTCATTTATCTTCCATGTGCCATGTTCCTTCAAAATGTGGGCAGTCATGGCTTTCCACAACTTCTTATCTCTTGTAGCTCTTAGTATTGTTTTTTTTTTTTTTTAATTATTTCACCCCAAGCAAGGCAATAAAACTACTAAGATGCTAGGGGTTACTGTGTGTTAGAGAGTATGTAAAAGGAAATACTATTAGGGAGTGAGAATAATAAAAGAACAAGAATTAAGAAGACTTTTTTGAAGATCAAAGTTGACTGGGAAGCTAGAAGCCGGAAGATAGTTCCACAAGCAAGAAGTGTGATAAGAATATCTGTTAGCATAGAACTTACAGTTACATCTAGCCATTTCAACTGTAAAATGATGCAACTTTGCTGCCAATCTAGTACTGCACTTAAATTCACAAAGTGCAGGTACCTAGAGGAAAATTCATCAGAACAATTACCATGAAAGTATTTATAAAAAAGGCACAGGGAAGCTACAATACAGCAGTGGGAAAATAACTTAAAGTGAGATGCCAGATCAGGACCAATAACATTGCAGATTCTTTGGATTTTATCAAGAATCTCTAAATATATAGCAGCACCACCAGACCAGATGTGATGGCAATATTTAATGCCTTGATGAATGGTAGACTTATAAATTTGTAAAATATATTCTGGAGAGAAAAATTTGTCTAGCATGACGTAATGGACCAACTTTCCTAGCAGCATACCTAGCAATTAATTTAATATAATGCTTTCACTATGTCAGTGGAACATGTTAGCCCGAGAAGGCATGAGAAGTCACTTTCCTGGAGGCTAGCATCAGCCATTCTGATGGAAGGTAGAAAGGGGTCTCTCAGATGATTTCCAATTCGTAGATTGCATCTTGAGTTATTCCTCTTGCTTACAACCTTGTAATCTGTTTTCTTACAATTAATAGTCCTTCTTTTTTGCTTTCTCTTAGTACCATGGACATCATGTATACATAAACCTTAACTACTACTTGCTCATCAAACAGATATGAAAATCCTTAGCCATTTACCTCATTGAATTCATGAGTTTCCATTATTGCCATTCCCTGGCTTATCTGTAAATGACAGAAGTTTCTGTCACAGGTTTAGCTATATATTTGATCAAATTATTCTATCTTTTGACAAACATTATCTCCCTTATATATATATATATATATATATATATATATATATATATATATATATATATTATCCATTGTTATTCCTTGTCTGTTTTAAATTCATTCTAGCCATAAATGGTCTGCCATACTTGATATCATAGTCTGATCCTTACTGATGACTTTTCGAGTGTTGTCTGGTTTCTTGCATATTTTCTTCACTGCTGCTGTATAAAATATTGTCTATACCTATGTATGTTAGTTTGAATCATAAATAATTTGCACATTTTTTATCAACTTAATTCTTCAAAATATTACAATTAGTTCTCCAAGATGGAAATTACTTATGATTCAACCTAATACACACTTTGTTTGGAGGTCTGCCCTCTGTGATTGAAAATTACTTTTACATACAAAAGAAAAAATACATTCATTCCATCAAGAATTGTCTGGAACATTGTAAAGTCAATAAAGATGAAGATGTTAATCCAGTAATACATGGAGTGATGATGAGTCATCTCTGATTTTTCTTGCAGGTTATAAACTGTATTTCATTCTATATTCGGCAATAAAATGTTGACTAGGCAAATATTCTTTTAATGCAGTTGATGTAATATAAAGAATATAAAGAAATTGTTGATATTTAGCTGATGCAGGATTATATCCACATATTTTTTTATATTATTTTTGTCCTGCATGTATAAGAATCTTTTGTTTAATGTACAAGTTCTTCCTTAAAGTTTTGAAATTGCACTATCTTACATGTTGACTCTATGCAAATATATTTTACAAGACATTGTATTTTATTTCAATCTCTAAGGATGTAAATTAACAATTTAAAATCCTTAAGAAAAGAAAAAAAATTATATGAAATTTTAATGGCCACTACAATTTCTTCTTTTTTTTTAATGTTGGATATTTTTTGTAGATCAAATCCTATTGAACATGGAGAAGACAGTATACTATAAAAAAAATAAGAGTTTGTTAAATATTAAAAAAAATGTTTTTGATTGAGATTTCACTGGAGGATTTTCTCTTGTTTGTAAAGTTTCATATTTACTGGACACATTTTTTCTAGCAGCCGTAATTTGAGAGTTGAATAAGTGGTGACTCCACCCTCATGGTTTATAAAAACTGGAATTCAAGAGCATTAGCATATTTTTTCCATTTTGAGACAATTGTTGTTTGAATTCTTGTTTGCAGTGGTGTGGGGTAATAGGCTCAGAATAAGTTTAGCTAGAATCTGTTTCAAGCTTTCTGAAGTTAAAGAAATTGATAATAGTAACATTTGGTTGTGATACAAACAGTTTCCCTTTCTGTCTATATTTCTGAGACGAGGTCTTGTAACTATTTACATTATTTGGACTGTTCTCCTCATCTTTATTGTCATATTCACACCATTTTAGCCATTGTACACTCCGGCCTTCTTCAGCTAATATATGTTGAAATTTCAAACTGAACCCTTTGTTTACTCCACTGGGGTAGATTGTTCTTGATACTCAATTCTCCAAGTTTTTGTTCCCCTCTGCTGTGGCCAGGTATTGAACTCACATCTCTTTTGGGTCAAGTCACTGGATTACTTCAGCAGAGGTGGAGAGTTGAGTTACTAAAGGGAAATAAGTGAAACTGAGATATTCAGAAAAGGCATGGCATGTGGAATAAGAACAATCTACCCCAGTGGACTAAATAAATGATTTGGTTCAAAATTCCAATGTATATCATCTGAAGAATTCCTGTACATACAATGGCCAAAACGTTGTGAATATGACAATGATGAGGACATCAGCCTGAACAATGTAAATAGTATAAATAGTTTCTCTTTATTGAAACATCCAGATCATTGTTCCATGATTGTTAACAAGTAATGTGTAATGGAAATAAAGAACAAACCTTTGACAAAGCTCAAATTGAAAGTAACTGGAATTAAGATGAAAGAAATACTAGACAAAAATGAATAATAATTGACAGTGTTTCATCTAAGAAATTAAAAATAATATCACTACAGGTATATGTAAATAAAAACATAGTGTATCAGGCAGAAATAAAGAATAAGTATGCATAAAGAAGACGTAAGATTAGATTTGAATCACTGGCCAGTGGCCTTCATTGTACAGCAACTGTCACATTGGGATAAATTTCTGAGCATAAAGGATGAGAGTTCAAATCATGCCTGAGGTTTTTCTTAATTTTAAGTCTATGTTGCTTATTAATAATTTTGGAATAACAATCTAAGAGTTACAATAAAAAGCAACTAAAATTAAAATGTATGAAATACTAGTTAAAAATGGACGGTAATTGACAATGCTTCATTTAAGAAATTCAATATATTATTACTACAAGTGTAATTTTTGTCTAAATTTCTGGGATGAGGAGTTTTTCATTATTTATAGTTGGACTATTGTCTTTGTCTTTATTGTTTTTATCGTAATATTGTGCCCTCTGCCTTTCATTAGATGCTTTTTGATCCATGTAACCTTCAAGGAATATCAAACAATACTTAATTTAATATATGGTGTTAGATTGTTCTCCAATGATGCCTTGTTAGTACTACTCAGTTTATTGCTCGCCCTGTTTCCATCAAAACCTGGGATTGAACTCACAATCACTATATCATCAAAATCATGATGCAACACTAGTGGATGAAAGCACTGGTGTGTGAATTTGGTAGTGTAGTAATATAGTAGTATAGAATATAAATAATACTACGGTGTATTACTTGAAGTTAGGAAGCTTTTATCATCTTCAAAGTAAAGAAAACACATCGATTGAACTACATATACTCAATTATCTAATAAAAGCTATTTACTAAGTTTAGGTCAAAATAGAGGGAAAAATAGATTTGTGTTTTGTTATGTCAGTTTTCCAAGTTAGGAGAAGCCTGGTTTAAAATCTGTATCCAAGGTTCTTGCTTTTTACCTCGTCCAAAAGACCATGTATAACAGTAGAAAATATTTCATCATATCACCCATCAAACAGAACGTATCAATTATAATTGATATCAATCAATATTATTCATACTTGATGATGATTTTTAAATGAATGATCAGTAATAAAATCTATATATTGAAAATTAATGAAATTTGTTTTAGTTACAAAAATATTCTCTTTGGTTGGATATGCTTCAAAATTTCATTTGTTGCTTCATGTTTTGCATAAATTTGTGACCCCACATTACCTCAGTAGAACAAAACATCACACATCATTAAACAATGATCTTCCTATCAGCTTTTTTATATATATATATATTAGTTACAAAAGAATTTTACAACATAAGTGTTAACATTTAATTTGCATAAAAAATTTTAAAATTATATTTTAATAAATATTTAATTTATGGTATTTATTTTTAACACAAACTTTAAAAAATCTTTATATATAGGTAATGTTTCTGTTGATAAAATTTTTTTTTTTAAATTCATCATCTTTATATAGAAAGAATTTATACCTACCTTGTGAAAATTAGGTCGTTAGCAGAAAAAATATCAGCGTGTTGGCATTTAAAGAAAGCTTAAAATAAATGTAATTTTGACTTCTAAAGAAGCCTGTATAAAGTAACTACTTTTTAAAAATAGAAAAATTTTTATAGAATTTTATGCACAGTCCCATTTGTGATCTGATATTTCACATTACTACAAATTAGCGGAGTAGAACTGAAAAAAAACTTTAGAGAATTATCTAGTCAAAAAATGTGTTTAATTAGATTTTCTAATCACTTTACTGGATTATTTAAATGAGTGAAAAATAATAAGTTTGCAGAATTATTATTATAAACATTATTTTGAATTATTCTTATTAATAAAATATTACAGAATTATTTAATTATAACAAATTTTAATTTCTTTTTAATTGGGTTAATTGAAAGAATGTAATTAATAAACTTTTCCATATGTAATTAAAGAAAAAATTATTTAAATAAGTGAAAAAAATCTGTCTTTCAATTAATTTTTATTATTATGGTTAATAAAAAATAAAAAAATAATTTAAATACATGAATATAGTCTGTTGTTGAATTAATTTTTATTATTATAGTTAACAAAAAATAAAAAAATAATTTAAACATATGATGATAGTTTGTACTTGAAATAATTTTTATTATTATATTTAATAAAAAAAATGAAAAATAATTTAAATACATGAATATAGTCTGTTGTTGAATTAATGTTTATTATTAATAAAAGAACTATTACAGCTTTCTCTGTCTAGAGGACAAATATTCAGCTTGTAAAAGATCATGTGTAAATTGAGAAAAAAAAACTAATAAAAAATTTTCAAGTTATTTCAGTTTTTTCTTTCTCTGTTCTGCTTAATTTTTTATTTTCCATGTTTTTCTTTCTCACTTACTTGATTTTTTAAATTTTGTAAAGTCTCTTCTCTATTTGAAGTTATAAAATGGACTTATCTAGATCTAAGCTTATATTTTCTATTAGGTTTTAGTTGAATAAAAAACTGACAATCAGTGATTATTTGGATGATGTGGCATGTCAGACAATTTCTTTTCATTTTTGTTTTTTCTTTTAAGGTTTATGTGTGGCTGGATGCTTTAGTCAATTATTTAACTGTGACAGGATATCCTGAGAAACAAAACCAATGGCCACCCAGTTGCCATGTTGTTGGAAAAGAAATCTTAAAGTAAGTCATCCTCTTTCTATCATTAAAATTTAAAAATTTCAGTAAATGTTCAGAATTATATAGCAAATGTAAATTATTTTTGATAGTTCCATTATATTTAAATATACACTTTAAAATACAAATTGGTTTTATTCTGTCTAAATGACCTGGAGGAGTAAAGTTAGTGAATTTGGTGATATAATAGTGAGTTCAATCTCTATGCTGGGAAGTACAGATATACACAGTGGAAACAGCAATAACTGAACACTTAGATAAAATATTCCAAAACATGAAAGTGGAATGAGAATCTACCCCCATAGATTGAGTGAAGGGTTCAGTTTGAAATTCTCTAAAGATTAAGCAGACGACAGACACCTGAAGAAGGCGAGAGAGTACAACTGCCAAAACATTGGGACCAGTTCTAACCTTCATGGCTAGACCTGCCATGTTACACACATTGTAGTGAACAACCTTCATTCCCTTTGAATTCCATTGGTGAGATGTAAGTTCTACTTGAGCAGCTTCTTTCCCCAAATTGCCGCTTTGTGGAACTGACTCCCATGAGGTTGCTTCCCCGATTACTTCAATCTTAATCTGTTCAAGTCTGCTGTTATCTTCCCCACATAACCCCATAAACTGTGCCTCTTACTCTAACTTGAGTGGATCTTGGGCCCTGTACAGAGGAATCATTGTAAAAAATAAAAATCATAACAAGAATGATGATTTTAATTCAACTGTACATAATGGTATTATTTTGTTAAAATGTTTCATAAAAATGACAGTTTGGACAGATTTATGGTTATGACAATGTAGAGCATGTATATCATTATATTCAAAGTGTAGAGAATTCTTTTATTCTAATAATTTTCTCAGTGTCATCATGAAGAACACAGCTGGATGTCCAAATATATAGTCTTTAAAAGTTCTTATAGTAGACACTTTTAGTAATTCTTTGGCTTCAATTCATTGTATGTTCATCATTTGCAAACTGTTATCATTTCAGATTCCATGCTTTGTTTTGGCCTGCATTCTTGATGGCAGCTGGAATGGAACTCCCAAATAAAATCCTTTGCCATTCACATTGGCTTGTGGATGGGCAAAAGGTAATAAGAAGAAAACTTTGTTTTCTTAATAAAATAAAACATAATTGCAGCTTAGCTCAACCATTTTAACTTTGATTCATCTTTATGGACTTTTAACATATTTTGTTGTGCTAAAATATTTTTCTATAAAGCCTGATCCTAAGTGATATTACAATAAAGATAAAATATGCTTATAATTATGAAATTAGTTATCAGCATGACTTAGGCTACATTTATAGTTTTATGACATTCCAAGAAGTCTTCAAATGTTTTAATATATATTTGAAAATCCTTTTGAATTTTTTTAATCTGTTCACTCCAAGCAAGGCGATAAAGCCACTAAGATGCAAGAAAATCAAGTATTTGGTATAATCTTTTTTTATTTTTAATACCTTGTTAATTCAGGATATAAGCAATCCTGACCTTCCACAGGTTCCTTTTCTTTGTTATCTGCTAGTTACCATGAATTATGGAAAAAGCTAGTTAAATTGTCTCCTTCACAATTTGGAATTCAGTTTTACTTCAGTTAAACTGTTTGCCACCCAAAGCTAGAGATCCTAGTCTAACCTACTGTTTAATCCATAGCTGGAAAAAGAAATGGACTCAAGCCTTTCTCAAGACTATTAGGGTGAAAGTGAATATAACAGACAAAGACAGAATTTGAACTTGGCTCGCTGACTTCCCATTCCATAATAATATCTGCTGCACTATATACAAATCCTATTTTGCATAATACCAATAATATAATCTTTTATACAGAATATTTGAAGCTAATGACACTTTCCTTATATTTATATTGAAGGTGCAAGTTTTGATGCAATTTTTACCTTTATTGATTTTACAAGTTGGTAAATTTTTCATCTTTCACTAGATGCACACTATATATAATCATTTTTCTTTGTTCAACACATTTTTTAATTTGTGATGTTCTCCTCAATACTTTATCTATTCCTAATTGACGATTTCTGCAAGTGTATCTTAGACAGGAAACAAATGAATTATTGAAAAGGTTCAACAAGCAGTGACCTGTCATGTTTTTTTTTTTAATCATAGCAAAAATATGGCTGAGATTTTTATTTTTGTTATCTGTTAATTTTCCTTTTTTTTTTTTGCTTTTAAGAAAATGGGAGAGATCTCCTCAAGTTTCGGAATCTGAAAAATAAATTTGTTTAAATTTTATGCTGTCGGTCATTTAAGAATAAAATTGGTTGATGATTTCATTCAAGTTTAACCAAAAAGAGTGGCCCAAATAACAGATGCTGACTGGATAGCAGCAAAGTGATTAATAAGGATGGGTGTGAACTTTTTATTTTTTTGTTTCCTCTTTACTCAAATGTGGTTGCTTGAGAAAATGTGCCACACCTTGATAGAAATGCTTATGGGCATCAAACCTGCTTATCATTTGCAGCTTTCTATGTTTCTAAACTTGTCTTGTACTGCTTTCAATTTTCATTGAAACTTATGGCAAAACTGAAGTGCAATACTTTACAGATTACAAACTTCCTGTCCAAATTATAATCACTTTTAACTTTGCAAAGTGGACAATCAAACATCTCTCTCTCTCTTTTTTTTTTTTTTTTAAGCGTTTCACCCCAAGCACGGCGAGAAGCCTCTAGGACGCAAGGGGTTAAAGAAGATTTGGAGCAAGATCAGATAGGAGTGATAGAAGAAAGGATGAGGAGAAGGATAGTGGATAGATCAAGGCAACTGGAGATGTCAATTGACATTACATTTGAATAGCTGGAGATTATAGCTCTCAGGGAAACTGGAATAGGGAAGGGAGTTCCACAGGTGAGAGGTGTGAGACATGAAGCTATTGGAGTAGAAGAGACGGCTACATTTAGTAGTTTCGACAGTGAAAGGGTGATAGTGGGATGCCAGCCTCGTAGGGCGCTTGAACTCATGAAGTCTGGGAACCAGCGAATGCAGCTCCTCGGAGCAATTGCCATGAAAGTATTTGTAAAAAAGACAGAGGCGACAGCACGTCTGTGAGAGAGTGACTGTAGACAAGATGCCAGAACAGGGCCAATTATATTTTACAACCATTTTGAATTATGCTAGTTAAAAAAAAATAATTCAAAGTTTTACAAGAATCATATTTATGCTTTTTACCTCTTTTAGTTAGTCTAATGTGATGAAATAGAAAGATTGAGTTCTACCAACAAAAGAGATATGCACAAACAAATAAAGCAACTAACAGGACAGAAAACATGTCCATCAACAGGCTGCTTAAAATAAAAGGATGGAATGCTCATATTAGAGAAGGAAAAAATTCTTCAACACTGGAGTGAATATATTGGAGAACTCTTCCACAATGAAAGAGAACAACCAGCAATACACAGAACTATCTGAAAACCAAAGTAAAAGCAACACTGGCCAAATTGAACAGAAACAAGACAGCTGGGCCAAATGGAATTGTAACGGAAATGCTGACAGCCTTAGATGACTTTGGCATAGATAAGATCACTGAAATAACAAGTGAAATCTACAACAGCGGTGATATATCGGAAGACCTCAGCAGATCTATCTTGATAGCAATGCCTAAGAAACCAGGTGCAAACAAATGCGAACTCCACCTAAAAATAAGCCTAATGTGCCACGTGATGAGTTTTGTCATGTGGCTCATTAGGCTTATTGTGGTTCTACAGAAGGATGCTAAGGACATCATGGACTGAGCACGTGAGCAATGATGAGATCTTAGAGAGGATACAAACAAGAAGGAGGCTTATACTTAACATCAGGAAGAGGCAGCTAAAGTTCTTGGGATACATAATGAAGGAGGGGGGCCTGGAGAATCTGATACTCATGGGTTGAATAGAGGGAAAGAGAGACAAGGGAAAACAACACATGACATACCTAGCAGCCTTAAGCAAGTGGATGACAGAACGTGGTATGGGGGAGGTGACAGAGGGAAGAAATTTGTTGAAAACTGTAAGGGGTAGAGGGAGGTGGAGAGCTATGATAACTTATATCCAGAAAGGACATAGCACATAGAAAAAAAAGAAGTTAATTTGCATGTGCATTACACCCTGTTATTAACTCAGATAAATAATGGACAATTCTGTTTTCTTTGCAAAGAAAGACAAAAGAAAAAGATATATCAGAGATGTTTGATTTTAGTGAGAAAAAGAAAGCATACATAATAAGAAAAAAGAAAGAAAATCAAAATAGAGAAAGTGATAATAATCTCATGCATTTAATATCTTCAGTCAAATGGAAAACATTACCAATGCTGAATCTTTTCATTTGTACCCTCTTCTTAAAATGACCTGCATTCATATTTGATTATTAAAATTGTTAAGTACAAATATTTAATGATGCATTAGAATTTTAACTGGTATTTTAGCAATCATTAAATTAAAAATTATGGTAGATCAGAAAGTTCAAATAGGAAAATTGTGAAATTAATGGGAACTGCTATTTTTTTTTTAAATTTTACTCTATATTTGTTAACCTGAAAATTTGCTATTTTTAGTTTCCACAGGAATAACAGTCGTACAATTAACTCTTCAAATAAACATTTATCTTGTATGTAAATATTCAAGAATTATAACTGACATACGTTATTAGCACAGAAAGTAGAACCACAAGCTAAGTTCAAATGCTATACTAACCTGTTGCATTCACTTTCGCACTAATGCTCTTTGGAAAGGCATGACTCCATCTCTTAAGATATGGGCTAAATAGCATATTAGATTGGGCTATTTAGCCTTGAGTAGCAGCCAGTCTAGAATGATTTATTTTAATTCAAAACTGTGGCAAAGGCAATAGGAAAACTACTTGACTATTTTTCTCAAAAGATTATGGCAATTCACAGAAATTAAAAAAAAACTATGATGAGGTGTAATTACTTATGTATGAAAGAATATGACATTTAAAAAAAAAAAATTCTATTTGTAAAATCAATATCTTCAATTATATTTTTTTATTACTTAGTTTTAATTCTTTTCATCTTAATTTTTGTTCCTTTGCTTTTTAGATGTCAAAATCTAAAGGAAATGTGATAAATCCAGTGGATTTAATGGAAAAATATTCACCTGACTGTTTACGGTATTTCTTATTAAGAGAAGGTGTTCCTCATTCAGACAACAGTAAGTAATAGCTAAATATATACTGGAAATATTGAACAAGTATTAAAGGCTGTGTATACAAGTATACCTCACCCTACATGGTTAATTGGTTCCAGAGGTCATGACTTAACCACACTTTAAACTATGCTTAGCCTTACCACTTGCACTAGGGCATTTCTTCTGAGCCATGGGCAAAAATGTACTCTAAATCACAATCAAAATGTAATTGAAAGAACGTCAATGGCAGAGCACCAATATAAACAAGTCTGAATTCAAAATTGGTGTTGGAGCAGACTATATATATAATGAGATCTTGAGAAAATTGTTTAAAATGTTGTGGCAACTGGTAAACTTGTGTTGATCACTATCCACAGCATTTAATGGTTCCTGAAACAAGATATTTACCAAATTGGAGCAAGTGAGCATCTCGTTACATTTGTTGGACACTTAAAGAGTGCATGGATCAAGTGAGGAAACATCGGAAGAAGACATCTTACATGATGTGACATCAAGCAGATGAACCCAAAGAGAATAAGTTTCCTAATAAAGACAGTATAAAAACATCCTACCAATGCCAGTCAGTATCAAATTGTGGATATTGCTAAAATCTGTATGTCACACTTGTCAAGATAGACTATAGAGTGTCCAATTGTTCTGGTTCTAACAATAATTTTACATTCAAATGATGTTAAATATTGGTTACATCTATTGACTGCCACAGCTACACTACTTCCTTACTTATTACATTACATAAATATTATCTGGCCAGAATCATTTCTGTAAGTCAGAGTAGGTGAAATCACTCAGTGTACATGAGCTGAAATCTCCCAAAATATACATGCACATTCATTACTATGTTATCTTTTTAGTGGGTACACGTGTTTGAGTTGCTATTCCTGTTTTATTTTATTTTCTTAAACTAAAATTAATAACAACTGACTTAGATTGAGAAGGCACATATATCTTTAATAGTACTTTTCAATCTAGGCCAGTTGTTATTAATTTCAGTTTAACAAAATTAAAAATAAAACAGGGTTGTTGGATTAAAAAATACAATTCTCTTCGGCAAAAGCGAATTGAGTCACTGTCGGTCACTGTGTGTGTTTATCTAAAAATAAATGCGCTAAAATTCACCTTCATCCCTGCCGTGCACCGATGGCTTAGTGTTAGAATCTCCGACTAACACCAATTCAGTCGGGTTTCGATCCTAGCTAGAGGCAACCGGATGTCTAGCCACACTGAAGAGCTGTGAAACGGCGAAACAGTCTGTCTGTGGATGACTTTTATATATATATATATATATATATATATATATAAAGCAATTATTACTCAGTTGAAATATAATTTCAATTAAATATAGATTACACTATATATATATATATATATATATATATATATATATATATATTTGTTTGAATAAAAGACTGACCACGTTAAGATTCCATGTAATAAGCTATTTCACCATAACCCCTTTAACAGGGTTCTGGATCATCAGACTTTACTTCCAAAAGCTGAAATGAAGAATGAAAAGAAATTCACACGTTTTTTACGGACCTCATCAAGTATATGCAAAGTTAATGAAGTGAGGAGGTGAGGTGGGAGAGAGGATATGAGTGTGTCATATGTATCATTTTAGTTTCCTATTTTAACCCCAGTGTGTCGGCTGGATGTTGCTCAAATCTAACGCGGCCTCGTCTCTAGATAAAGGTGGTTAAGGGGTGAGCGATAAAGGGATACATTAAGGAAGACGCGTTACAACAGCCCCAATAAATTACACGACAGGTTTCATTCAAATTCCTAGACGCTGTCAGTTCGCGTTACTTTAACGTGCATATTTGGGAGGTTAAGGTTTGATAAATATCTACAATTTTAAAACAATCTACAAAGAAATTAATTTGAAATTTGGTGGAGTTTTGGGTATTTCCTATGAAGCAGTCGATTGGAAAGATCCAGGAAAAAACAGTTTTGCTGTATTGCAGCTCATCAGTGTGGTAGACAGCCAATTTCTTCAAACCAGGATCAAAACCTAACTGATTCGGCAACAGTCAGTGATTTTCCCCCTAAGCCATCGGTGTATGGTTAAAAGAAAGCCAAATTTTTATGTACTTACTCTGTGAATAAACACACAATAACTGACAGTGCTAAATTCAGGGAAGGGGATATATATACTTATTTTTATTCCAATAATGAAGTCCTTATGAAATGAATCTGTTTTCCTTGTGCTTTCTCTTTTTGTTATTTTGCCACTGGTTCTTTGATATTTCTTGCCAATCAAATTCCTGATCTGATAATTACTTCTCTGTTTTCTCCTTTAGATTTCAATGAACAGAAAATGGTCGAGTGTGTGAATAGTGAAATAGTGAACACATTTGGGAACCTTCTAAGCAGATGCACTTCAAAGATTGTCAACCCGGACCAGATTTTTCCATCTTTGGAGAAAGAGGCATTTTATTTGTACTTCAATAATGAGGAAAGGCACAATTATGACAAACTGCAAGATTTGTCTGGTAAATATTGTTTTGGCCCTTTTAATATATCTTACTCTCTGGTTTGCTTTGGTTTACAGCATATCAAGCTCAATAGCAATTTATTGCTGGAAATTTTTACACTTTCATAGTGTTTTGACCTTAGTTTGAGCATTAACTATTTGTCCATAGCAACAGGTGCTACCACCCCGCGTCAGGGTGGACCTGGGAACACCAACAATTAAGAGGTGGTTCCACACTCCTCAAAACCTCCTGATCAGAGGCCTTGCTGTTAGGTGTAGCTTATCATCTTACTCAGGATATGAATGTAGTTTACCGTCATAACCAGGACGGCTTATTGTCTGGTACTTTGATTGTGGATTCTGCTTACCTACACATTTATCTTGTTTGCTTATATGAACCATTTAAGGTTAATATTTATAATGTTCTTGATAAAAACATGTTTACTTCCTAGCCTGCAAAAGAGTGTTTTTTTTTGTTTTGTTTTTTTAACAGTAAAGTTCACCCTTTACAAAGCCTGGAGGCCACTCAAGGTAGAGGATTACATTAAAGGGTAGTTTATACAGTTAGGAGGGGAAGAAAATGGTTGACTCTAGACTTGAACAACTGATGGAATATGGAGGGGATGTTAGTTTGCTACAATATAATTGTAGACATGAATGTTAGACCTGGTGGAATACAGGATTGTAAGCATCCTCTAGAACAGTGAGAGGCTTGTGACATTTCATCTGTTTGCAGAGTGGAAAATAATTTGTCACCCACAATGACTCAGAGGCACCTTTGAACTTTCAAGAAAAGTAACCATCCAGGCATCAGGTATTTACTTCAGTCTACCGGCAATTATGTATTGGTCTATGTAAGTGGACCACATTTGAAAATGCAGAGCAAATAGGTTTTGAATTGATTTTTTTCTTGTGAACACCTCAAACTCACACATGTTATTTTTAAAAATATCACCTTCACAAAAAAATTAAAAAAAAAAAAAACTCAAATAGTAAAATTAAAAATGTTATAGTGCTGGACTTTCAAAAGTAACCACCAGGCATCAGAGATATTTGAGTTGTTTTGTAAATCTGTATACACAATCTCTTTATCTTTATGGACATGTGGCCAAGTGGTTAGAACATTCGCATTCTGACCATGAGACCTGGGTTCAAATCTCACCATATTTGATTTGTCAGGAAAGAAACTTCCAGATATTATCAGACTGGAGGGGTTGATCCCAGCATGCAACACGTTTGGAAAGTGCCTGAAAACCGTACCATGGGTTGACCCAAGCCTTGTGAGTGAAATTGCATAGATGGAACCCTTGGGGGTCATTGATAGCTGTGCCAGCACAAAGTCACAAGTCATCATGGTCGAGGGCTTGAGCGTGCTGGCCTTGTTCAAATTGTTGATCATGCTAGATAACATGCTCTTTCCCAGAAACTGTAACTAAGGTCTGCTCAGCATAGTTGCAGTATAAATCAAAGGTGGGCTCTTTGGGTGTTGAATAAGCACAAATGCACCTGAGCAAGTGTCTGCAATAGGGATTGGCTAGCCGCCCTAGTAGATGGGTATACTCGCATATGAGTGGCCAGCTATACATACACAATCTCTGCCTACAAAGCTGAAAAGTTTCTCAAATATATTTTACTTGTGGATGTTGATAAAAATCGACATGTCATTAATTGTTGTATTTTTTTAATTTTTAAACATTTTTGTCATTTCTATTTGTCATATATACTCTCACAAAGCCTGACCAATGATGTAAAGTTGCACATTTGATTTTTTGAAAAAGAGTAAAAACCCTCATCTTATTATAATTCTGTGTCCCGTTCTTCATTAGTTAGCATGACTGCCATGTCCTGCCAATACTGTATAAATAATGATTTCATTTTGATTGCTTAGAAAGACAGGAAAAGAGATATTCTAGATGCTGCTTGGTCTTAGTGAGAAAATGAAAGAAAGAAAAAAGGGAAGATAGAAGTATTTAATGTCTCCTGCCAATACCACATAAATAATGGACTATTCCATTTTGATTGCATGGAAAAACAGAACGCATACCAGGGACACTACTTGTTTTCAGTGAGAAAATAAATGAATGAAAGAAAGAAAAGAAAGATAGAAGGATTTAATGTTTGTTTCAATGAAATGGAAAAAGTTGTCAATTTTAAATCATTTCATTTGTACCCACTTCTTAAAATAATGACCAGCATTCATATTTATGATTGTTATTGTAATATTTTGTTAAAGTTTTTAATCTCAAATATTTAAAGATGCAATGGGGGAATTTCTACAAATATTTTATTGTTGTAGAACTCGCCATGAACTTATTCAATCATGAACTGAAGAATTGAGTTTCATCAGAAAATTCAGATAGGAAAACCATTAAATTTTCATATGTATTTCTAGTTTAAAGTAATTTGTCATGTACTTTCAGGATGGAGTTAATCACAGCTCTCCACAAATTTGTTTTTCTTTATTATTTGGGAACTGAAAAGACTTTTTTTATTTTTAAAAAATCATTTAATTCCCAGCAAGGTGATAATGTCATTAAGACACAAGGGTTTACTGAGAGTGGAAGAGAATTAGGAGAATTTAGTGAGGAGAAAGGACAACAAAAGAACAGACTTCAGGACAACAGAAGATGGCAATTGACATTACATTTAGATTTTTAAGATTGTAAGGGTCAACAAATCAGAAGGGAGTTCCACAGGTGAGAAATGAAAGAAAAGTAACTATTAGAATAGAATTTACAGTTACATCTAGCTAGTTCAACAGTAAAACAATGAAACCTAATAGCCAATCTAGTAGTATGTTCAAATTCATGTGGTCAAGGTACCAAGAAGGCTCATTAGAACAACTGCTATGAAAATATTTATAGAAAAGACAGTGTGACTTCTTTGGAAAGATAGTGAAGTAGTTTCTCATTGCTTTCTCCACGGTTTGAAAAATCAGTTTTCTTTCTCTTAGATTGGTTGCCAACTAAATCTAGAGAGTCTAGTCTACATTGCTATTTAAGCCATAATGGCAGGAGGAGAAGATATGAATTCATACTTTCCCCAAGGCCATAATGAATACAACAGACTTGACCAGAATTTAAACTCTGCTTATCAGTTCCATTTTTAGCACTGATGACCATTATACTACCCACACAGTTAATACTTAAAAGGAAATAATAAATATTTTTCAGTGGTTATTGTTATTCACTTAAATTCATAATTAAACTTATGCATTTTGCCTTTTGCTTTAATGCTTGTCAAATATAAATAGAATAAAAAAAATTATAAATGACTTTTTCAGGTTATTTGTTTCTTTATAAAAATCACTTGGCTGGTTTGAGTTTACAAAAAATAGACAAAGTAGAACAAGAACAGCAAAGACAAAAAGTGGGTTGTAAGAATTACTTAGGGCAACAAAAGATAAGGAATTTGTGGAGAGCCATGATTGCCCACATCCTAAAAGGACACAGAAAGACAGGCAGAAAACAACTGTAGTTGCTAGAAAACTGATTTTCACAGTTAATGGAAACAGGATGCCATAACTGTTTGGTAGAGTGATTTTTTTTTAATCTTTACAAGTTTATATCTGGGAATTTTTAATTTCCACAACCTTTCACATACATGTAAAATGTAGAATTCCTGCTTAATTGGCATGAACTTCTTTTTCAGTAATTTTTCTTTCCACTTATTTCACTACCTTCTTTTTGTTTCTTATTGGAAAATTTTAATTTCATTTACAGTTTAGTTGTCAGATTAACTTACAGGTAGCAAATTGGGCAACATTTGAAAGATCAGCACTACTAAATTTTAAATTACCTTCCTTCATGTTTACATTTCTGCTGTTGATATGTGTGTGTATATATATATATATATAATCTCCATGGGGAATGACAACAAATAGAATTCAATTCAGATGTTCGTAACATCCAATTTAAAAAAGTGCTCAATATAAAAGTAGAGCAATATTCTTTATTTTAGGATATTACAACAAAAACATATAAAAATGCTACACAAATACAATCATGTTTCGATGTGTAAGAAAAACCCTAAACCGTTGGTGGAACCAACAGGCAATTTGCCAAAGGACCTAAATACACTTGATCCAGATAAAATCTTGAACAAGATTAGTAATAAGAAAAAAAAAAACTAATGGCAAACACCTACCGCTCAGTGCTCACACAATCTTCAGATGACTTGGATGCATTCAAGTAGGCTGAAGATCATATGAATGTAAAACACGGGTTACAACTAGGGCCATCTTATATATATATATATATATATATATATATATATATATATAGATATATAATTTACAAAGATGTAATGGATATTTTATTTATTGCTCCAACAGATTTTATTACTTAAATGTATGTTATCGATAGGGGATATCCATATTTAAGTAGACGCTTCATTTATTTAACCAACATAATTATTACCAACTCAGCTGCAGCTTGCATTGTCAATCAAAAAAAATTGATTAGTGCCTTGTAAACACTCTTTTTCTTTAATAAAATTTCTTGAATATTCAAGCTGGCAAATCAAAATAAATAAAAATACTGTTTAATAAATAAAAGGAGCATCTACTCAGATATGGATATTCACTATAAATAACATTTAATTAACATATATATATATACACACACGATTGATATATATATATATATATATATATATATATATATATATATATATATAATTTTTTAAAAAAGGATATTGAAGGTTTTTAAAGGTGTATGTTTATTTCTTCTTCAGGTAAATATTGAGTGCTGCAAATTCTTCGTGCTTTTAAATAGAATCTTATAATTATTCCCAATTTTATTTTATTACAGTGGTGAAATTACAAATTCATAAGGTCATTCTTTTTGGTATATTTTCTGTAAACCTTGAACTGAAGATCATTATTAGTTATTGTAAAGATGACTCAATCATTCTCATTACAGTTAAATTAATTAATAATGTCTGTTATAGTACAATAATTTTTTACAATGCAATTAATAATATAGTTATTCTGCATAAATGATGCTTTCACCATCTCAG